GACCCCAGATTCTCTCTCTTATTCCCTTCACAAATCATCACAAGCCATCCATAACGAAAAAGCATAGATAGGCAATATAATAGAAAATGCAAGGTTGGCCACGTTTGTGCGGTTCAGCGCCAAGTGCCCACACACCTGTCTGCCGCCAAAGCAGCACACTTGCACATGTACATATGTATACATATATATTTCAAACCATAGGGGATGGAGAGAAGAAGGCAACTTACCTAAGACAAAAGACTACTCCAGCAATAAGGCACTGACCCGACCCCCTCAAAAGTCCGAATAAACTTGGCCTTCCGCCTCCGCCCACAAAACCAAGAACTCATTTACCAAAAACAATCAAACATAACAGCATTGGCATTCCCGACATTCATCTCAAACTACGCACTCGCGTCACTGCCAAAGAGGAGGAAGAAGATTAGAGACACTTACCTAAGACAGAGGACTCCTCCAGCAAGAACGCACCGACCCCCCTGCTAAGGGCCCCAAAAAACTGGGAAAGCCTTCCACGCCGGCCCACAAAACATACATTCCCCCCAAAGAAAACTCTAACAACCATCCAAACAGCCCATGCTCTAAAGCAGGGCAAAGAATTAGGCCGTGTATAATCAACAAAACCAACAAGACAGATCCAACCACAAAAAGAGAGAATAGCTTCGCTAGTACGATCCTAGCCACTCGAATCTGCCAAGACAAAGAGCTACTCTCTTTCACAAAGCAGACATTATGTAGCTTCCTGCACTTTCCACTCGTTGCACACTGCCACCTCCAGGAAACCTTACCCACAAACTAAATCCGTACACCACATAGAAATAGCATCTACCGGCCATCTCTTTTGATTGCATGTTGCTTTTGTGTGTGTGTGTGTGTGTTGTTTTAAGCGACCCCAGATTCTCTCTCTTATTCCCTCACAGATCATCACAAGCCAAACATAACAAAAAAGTGTAGATAGGCAATATAATAGAAAATGCATGGTTGGCCACGTTTGTGTGATTCAGCGCCAAGTGGCCACACACCCACCTGCCGCCAAAGCGGCACACTTGCACATATACGTATGCATACATATATATTTCAAACCATAAGGGGATGGAGGGCAGAAGGGAACTTACCTAAGACAGAAGACTACTCCAGCAAGAAGGCACCGACCCGACTCCCTCAAAGGTCCGAAAAAAACTTGGAGAGCCTTCCACATCGGCCCACAAAACCAAAGACTCATTTATCAAAAACAATCAAACATGACAGCATTGGCATTCCCGACATTCATCTCAAACTACACACTCGCATCACTCCCAAAGAGGAGGAAGAAGATTAGAAACAACTTACCTAAGACAGAAGGCTCTTCCAGCAAGAACGCACCGACCAGGGTCCGAGAAAACTGGGAAAGCCTTCCACGCCGGCCCACAAAACATACATTCCCCCCAAAGAGAACTCGTGGCCACGCATAAACATCCAAACAGCCCATGCTCTAAAGCAGGGCAAAGAATTAGGCCGCATATAATCAGCAAAACATACAAGACATATCCAACCACAAAAAGAGAGAATAGCTCGCCAGTACGAGCCCGATCCTAGCCGCTTAAATCTGCCAAGACAGAGAGCTAGCAAGACCGTGTGTGTGTGTGTGTGTGTGTGTGTGTGTGTGTGTGTGTGTGTGTGTGTGTGTTGTCATGTTTGCTATACACAACTTCACAAAAAAATGCACGATTCTGCCAGACTGTTTCATCAGACTTTCACCAACTCATCAAAAGAGAGACAGAGAGAGTACCTCTCTTCATCTCCCTTTGTGTTTGTGTGTGGCACCCTCTATCTGTGTGTGCATGTGGAAGATGTGGGGGGGGTGGGCGGGCTGGGAGGGGTGGGCGGGCTGGGGGGGGTGGCAATGAATGTGTTTCCTGAGATGATCAGCAGCAACAGGAAGGCAAGGGACTCTAAGCGTCCAAAGCATGTCTTTAAAGTTTCAACTCACAGGAGGTGGGGGGTTTGCTGGTCTTCGTGACTGTTCACAATGACAGGACCTTCACTTTTGTGTGCATCGAACACCCGTCCCTTCCATGACGCTGGAGCCCATGTCCTCATACAGCTTGATTATACCTCTGCAGAGCTTCAGCCATACTTGTGTGTAGCTTGCACTATACTTCTGCACAGTTTGAGATATACTTGTTCAAAGTCTGCTCTATGCCTGTGCAAAGTTTGAGCTGCGCTTGTGAAAAGTTTGAGCTATACTTGAGAAGAGCCTGTGCACTTCAAAAGGTGGGGGTTCATTTCAATGGGGCTATCTCTGAGATTCACTTCTGGCTGGATTCGGTGCAAAGAACAGAGTGGAACAAACATAACTGCCCCTCTGCTACTGCACTGCCTGCTGACGACACTCTCCATGGCAGATTCATCTGTCAACATTGATGTCATGTCCGCAGCTATCACTGCACAAGACTCCATGGCACTTTACCAATTTGAATCCCTTCCCCTTTTCATTCCTCTCCTCTTCCCTCCTTCCACTTTATTCTCGTCCTACCACGAAGCAAGAAGGGCTCAGATGATTCAGCTATTGCAAACTCACAGGCCCATCTGTCTCTAAGCCTGTGATGATTTCTAGCCATTGACATGTATCTCCTTGAGGGCAGCAGCATTGGTCAGCATGCTCCGCAGCTCTGCGCCAAATGAGGGCATCAATCCCCTCTTCACCTGTCTGCTTGTGTGGGGTGCCCTATTCACCGTGCCCAGCAGATTTGGTCCCATCCACTCCAAACGGCCGGCAATAACAACAGAGCCACTGGACATTTTACCAAACGACCTGCTGCACCGACTGCAACAAAACATCCATCCCCAACGGACCTTCCATGACCATTCGCAACAAAACGCATTCCGCCAGAGGACCTGATGCACCCGTTCACAACAAACTCAGTGTGCCAATCACCAATCCACATCTCTCTTCTACTCTGGGTTATGAGTTGGCTCTCGGTGCACCATTTAGCAGACTTGCGGCAGCTGCCCTCTTTTCTGCAAGCGAGGAGAAGAGATCGCCCACACCCAGGATCTGAACTGGGTAACACTACCAGTCAATCATTTGAACGGTGCGAGAAGTGCCATTTGCATCACGCTTCTCCTACAATCCTTGCACCAGCAGAGCCAAAGCGCTGACGGCAGTTGTCACTCAGAAAGTGACGCAACTGCACTGATGGGTAGCTGCCACACCGCCAGGAACGAGACCTTGAGCAGTCTGCTGTTTAAGAGGTTGGGGTTCGCATTCGGGTTGGGGTAATCTGGGGCCTAAGACAGGACCACCTACTTAACTGAGGGGCTAAAGAAAAAAGAGGGAGGGAAAACCAACCACATACAGGCTTGTAATTCAGATCCTAAAAAAGTGGGCAGACTCTGCCCACCAACGCGATCAAAAGATTCAGAAAGCCAAACGATGCAGATTCCGAAGCTTTTTAACTCCTGAGCTCCTCCCTTCAGAAGCTCAGACCTATACATGATCACATGGGATATAAAACGAGTCACCAACATTGCAAGGCCAAATCTCCACTGCGCAATTGGAGGGCCATTCTTTCTCTGCTCACGTACCACCCTCGTCACTACGGCTGAGCTGTACTGCGCTCTCAATACATCTCTCTCCCACAACTGCCACAATGTCTCAATCCCTGCATATGAAAAATGTGAAACAGCGAAAGCTCGGCTAACAGCAAGATAAACTGGTGAAAGGCTAAGTCTCACCGTGTGCCCGGTAATGCCTCGGGTCTCTACAAAGAATAGCGCAGGGTCTGAGTAAAACATTAGGAGGGCGAAAGAACACACAGGACGCAGGTACACTTCAGATTAGTGCGGAGGAGACAGTCATTGATGATGCGTGTGCATTAATGCACAAATGAATATATAAATACGTATTGTATGAATGTATAAATCCTTCTTGAGACTCATGTGCATCAGCGTATCTATCGAGTACGTGGATATATATTTAGCATAACTTTGTGAGGACTTTGAGGAAGACGGCAGGGGAGAGGGAGGAGAGAGGGCGGATGTGGGAGGCACGTTGCATCACTCCTTTTTGAGGGGGGGTATTAAGCCACTCCTTGAGGACTTACGATGGTGGCGTTGATGTCGCTTATAGTCTTTGTAAAGAATCAATGCTTCCTTAAGCACACTTCGAACAACGAGCTTTCCGGAAACTTCATTGAAGAATTCAACAATTTCATCCATTCCGTGGACATGCCGCAAAATCCTTTCCCGGTTCGAGTGCAGGACTGCTGCGACACAAAATAAGGACAGGTCGTCATCTCCATCGCGACTTCTCTTCCCTGACGGTTGCCCTGCTTTCACTCTTGCCTTCTCATATTTACCCAACCCCTCATAATCCCCGCCAAGACCCCACTGACGCCAAATGTGAACGTTCTTCTTTTTCCTCCGGACAAGAAACTCTTGTCGCCGAACCTCTGTGTCTGATCGCCGTAACGTGGGGCCTTGTCCACTGTTGGTGGCTTTCCCTCCTTTTCCGCAACTGGCAGGGATGTCGGGAAGCCCCGGCACTGATATCTCTGTCCTGGCGATCTCATCCGAAACCTTGAAGTTATACTCCATGGCCCACATGATCTCCCACATGTAGAGGGAGTCGGCGAAACTCAGTTCTCTGCGAAACATGGTCATCAGCACCCGCACTGCAAAGGTATAGGTTCCTGCCCCTAACGACGCGAGGTGATTATGAAGCTCTGCATCCACAACCGACAGGATAGCCGCAATATGTTCTAGCTTCCTCTGTGCCCCAAGGGAAGAACTGTTTCCCGTGAAGTTCTCACGAACCCGTCTCATCAACCGCTCGAAACACCAGAAAGCATCCGCCTCATCTTTAAACAGGACAACTAAGGGCGACATCAAATCACTCATTCCTTGGCAGTACCCACACTCTGGATCGACCCATGCATACACTGCAAGGGTGTCCCAGAGCCGTGCCAGATTACGTTTGTCCTCGTAAAACTGTAAGTACCGATCTGTTCTTAAAACATCGAGGCCAATCTGATGCAGCATCCATCGCCACTTTTCGACCCTTTCATCTTTCACAACGTCCACAGGTTCTTTTACCTTCTCAGTTTTTACCTGCCCTTGTATCTCCTCTTCACTGCTACCTACAGCACACTTATTCTCTTCCTTGCCGCTGTCCACCTTATGGCTCCCATTGCTAATTGCTGACGTCGGATTTCTGCATGCAGGCAACAAACCCAGTCCCCTATTTGAAACAACGCCATTTGGTGTGCTCTCTCCCCTCATCGCGTGCTTCTCCTCCTCTCCCCCCACCGCTGCCAGCACCTCATCATCATCATCATCTGCTTCACTCTCACTGTTATGTTCAATCTCCAAACTCTGTTTGCTGATTGGCAAAGACCTTTCCAACAGTGCGACAGTGCCTCTCCCCTTGTCAACAATCTTTATGTCAACGGCATCGTCATCAGCCTCGTCATCATCCTCGTCCTCGTCACCTTCCTCATCACTTCCGCCATCACTCCCCCCACTCATGTCGCTGACAACTGGTTTCACCTGCCGCATCCGAGTACAGAATGCTCTCTCCCCCGCCTCGCCAACACCATCCCCTGCCTTACTCGGTGTGCCAGACGAAGAAGCAGCATTGACACTCCTTGCCTCTGCTATCATTTTCTTGACGTTCTCGGCTATGATTCTCCTCTCCTCTGCTAACTCTTCCTCTGTTTTCGGAGGAGATGTCGACACCTCCCCGCTCCCAACTGACTCATCCATACTGGCACAGAAGTCCTTCATTTTTTGATACATTTCTCGTCGCTGTAATCGAATCCTCTGCCTCTCCTCTGCGGTGCTATCCGTTGCATAGCAGCCAAGCAGAAACTCCCAAACCTCTCCTCGGATGCATGAGCTTACAATGCCCCCGCGCTGGATCTTTTTCAACACTCTGTCGAGTGCAAAAAGATGGCCCTCACTATCAAATGCCTCTCTCCAGGATTTTTCCCGTAGCCCTCTCGAGGACTTGAAGCGTGTGACATTCCGCACCTCCACATCCCTTCTGACCGGGTACGCAGAGTCAGGATCTTCGCGCTTTCCCTTGTCGGGTTTGAACACCTGACCACATCCTTTGATCCATCGTGACATGGCTACGAGGAGTGGGAGCTTCCTTCGCTTTTTGGGTCCGCCTTTCGGGGGAGAGGAACCTGCATGCGTGGTCGCAGATGTCTCCCCGTCTGCAGCTTCGTCGCCCTCTTGCTTGCATGTGCTCATTCACATCAATACAACTAACCCTTCCCTTGTCTTTTCCCTCTGCCTCCTCCCTCCTCCTCCCCCTTCTTTCTCCTTGCCTGAATCTCTTCCCTCTGCCTTTCCGCTCTCCCCTCCCTCCTTCTCTTCCTTCTTTCTCCTTGTTGCCACTTGTTCTCCTTCCACTCCTTTCAGATACCTCTACCAACCAAGCCAAAACAATAATCAACCCAACAGCAAAAAATCACATCGAAGTAACGTTTAATCTCCACATCAGGTTTGACCCCAATGCTGATAAAGGTGAAGACATCCCCCAAAAACGGACACCCATCGTCACTTAACTTTCAGGAAAGGCTGCACGTCAGACCTTGCAAGACTTGTAATCTCCATCTTTACCAAAAGATGGAGAGGGCTCCACTGCTACGCATATGCCTGGCATCGAGAACTCGACCAACAACAACATCCAAACCAGTTAGTCATTTTCTTTCTCTTTCTTTCTTTCTTTCTTTCTTTCTTTTAATTGATCACATTGTTGGGGATACCTAAGGGCACACTCATAGTAGGAATCTTCAGCTGCAGCTGGACATGCTAGACTTACATTCGGATACACCCCAAAAGGTCCAAGTGTTAGTATGCGCTCAGAAACCACTTCACATAGTTTAGAAATTGAAACAAAGAAAATGAAGCACACGGAGAGTGTCGAGAGCCGCGAGACTCGTCATGTTCATCGTGTGCTCCATTGTGACGACCCTCAGGGGTCACACAGAATCTCAAAACTTGCGCCCGCAGTCCTGCTAAATCAAAGAAAGCAAGACGCGGACCAGAAACTCCAACATGCAGACATTTAAAAGTGGAAGGAAAGATGCAAGGCAGAGTTTCGATACCGGTTATTCAACCAGCCAGACCTGGAGCTCTCCAGACTCTCTGCAACCTTTTGACATCATCAATTCGCTATCTTCATCTTCAGTGTAACTTCACCAGCCAGTCATCCAACTGACACACAACTTATGAATCACAACGCATACCCTGCAACCAGTATATATTCTGTGCAAAGTTGCAAACTATTCACTCATTGCACATCCAAACTCACCTCTCCACCTTCTGCTCTTCCCTCATTCCCACCCCTCTTCTCCTCTTCTCCCCTC